AGACGGTGGGCTCGAGTGCACCCTCAGCAAGACTGCAAGGGACACCAAGCTGAGTGGCGCAGTTGACACGCTGGAGGGACAGGATGCCATCCAGAGGGACCTGGAAAAGCTCCAGAGGTGAGCCCGTGTGAACCTCATGAGGTTCAACAAGGCCAAGTGCAAGGTCCTGCACTTGGGTCAGGGCAACCCCTGGTATCAACACATGCTGGGGGATGAAGGGATCGAGAGCAGCCCTGCCTTGGACTAGATGACCTTTAAAGATCCCTTCCAACCCAAACTGTTCTATGATTCTATGGTCTTGCAGCATCTCACTAAGGGTCTAGGGCTCCCTTGGAGCCCAGGTTCTCTCTAGGTGGGTGCAATGACGTACTTGGCTCTGGTGAGACTCCACCTAGAGTATTGTGTCCAGTTCCGGAGTGCTCAGCACAGGAAAGACATGGACCTGTTGGAGCAAGTCCAGAGGAGGGCCACAAAAAAAATCGGGGGCTGGAGCACCTCTCCTATGAGGACAGGCTGAGAGAGTTGGGGTTGTTCAGCCTGGAGAAGAGAAGGCTTCTCCATGGTCCGGGAAGACCTTATTGCAGCCTTTCAGTACTTAAAGGGGACTTGTAAGAAAGATGGGGGCAATCTTTTTAGCAGGGCCTGTTGTGAAAGAACAAGTGGTAACGGTTTTAAACTAAAAGAGGGTCGATTCAGACTAGATAGAAGGAAGAAATTCTTTACAACGTGGGTGGTGAAACACTGGCACAGGCTGCCCAGAGAGGTGGTAGAAGCCCCATCCCTGGAAACATTCAAGGCCATGCTGGAGGGGGCTCTGAGCAACCTGATCCAGCTAAAGATGTCCCTGCTCACTGCAGGGGGTTGGACTGGATAGCCTTTAAAGGTCTCTTCCAACCCAAACTGTTCCATGATTCTATGTTTCACAAAGCAGATACAAGCTTAGAGCTTTCTTGCCATTGAATATTTGGACAAAAATATCATTTACCATAAAATACTAAGTCAGAACCGACACACAAATTTGGGGTTGAAACACAAGCTCAATCTCTACACTGTAAGGGGAATAGCATCTACAGGGAAATTGCTTTTCGCAATGAATAGTCATGTTGTTGACTTTACACACTTAAGTGAGGGTATTTGCAGGATGGAAAACTTAATATATTTTCAACTATCCCAGACTTCCATATAAATATTGCATTAGCTGCAAGACAGTATTCACAACCTAAGTTATTTTCACTTATTCAATGCTACACTCACCCGTGAAACCCAATTCCAAGAATGAACAGATTAAAGATACTTAGTAAATGTGAAACTACTTCTCCTGACATATTCTTGTTGGGGGCATACAGAAGAAATGAAATATGTGTACGACATCTTGTGAATTATCTTATGAACACACCGATCCCCTTATAATTTTACGTACTGCATTTGAGTGTTTTTAGTTGCACTGTAGTCGGAGCACAAGCTGCTTTATTTGATATAGGCTTGATCATCTCTCTGAATTGTTACAGAGCAATCAGCTGTGATTCTACACCCTTATACAAGACTACAAATATTGTAAATTCTCATTAACTGTTACTACTAGCTAAAATATTTTTTGATTAAAAGTTTCCGCAGTGAATTTCAGTATGTTAAAATGTGAAATACCTGAAGTTTAACTTCAAAGATATTTTGAATGAGTTTGGCTAGGACAGTCTCTGGATTGCTGAAGACTTCTCCAACTTGCTTATTCACTCGCTGGCAGAGAATGGCTGCATCTTCAAAGACGTCATTCCTCAGGAATGCACCCTAGGGTTTTAGAAGCACATTTCATAATGTATTTACAACAACCTATAGGACTAAATAAATCAACACCCAAAGAGATACATGCAAACGAAAATGCATTACCTCTTGACACTGTTTTATGTACACATCAACGCAATGGGAATAGCCCTGTGGAAGGAGCAAAACAACTATGTTAAAGCAGATTCTCCATGCTTTCAGTATAGAACGAAATCAAGGAAATACAGCCTGTGTGGAAAAAGTTATTGCAAAAAAGAAAAAAGAAAATCATTCAAAGTGTAGACTTTTTCAAATCCATTTTTGTCACAAACCTAACATAACGCCCCTTACCACCACTCAACACGGACATACACCATAGGTTTCAACACCTTTTCACAAGCATGAAAGCCAGTTCACACACATACAAGAAGAGATTATTTTAGAATGGTTTCTACTGCCTCCAATTGCCCATCATCTGCCTCGTTTATTCCCCTGCATTTGGTTTCAGATGGAACATTTCAGTATTTTTAAAGTTACACATGTTATGTGATATGGTGGTTGTGCCCATGCAAATACATTCACCTAAACCAGGCACTTATTTTATTGTGGGTTGTTTTATTTACGTACTTAAATTAAACCCCTCAGTTTTTACCTTAAAATGAAGCAAAACTGCTGCTACTTCTCTCATTCTGGAGATTTCGCCTCTCCGTTGTGCACTGGTAAACTCTTGAATTAGCTGGCACTCCAAATCATGGTACTTACCTGGAGAGGAAAGGGGATAACAACAAAAATCCATCAGGCTACGCAATACAAGCACTGACAAAAACTGTAATACTGACAGTACTGCATACTGCTTTAATCATCTTTAACAATTCAAATACAGCAATATGGATTGAACTGGATAGATAACTTACTTGCTATCTTTGATTTTACTTCAGAAAACCTGTTAACAACAAAAATACCATGATTAAATTCAAATCCACGTCACGAGAGAAATCACAGACATCCTAGACCACGAGTAACAGGCATTCTACTTAAAAATTAAAACATGTAACACAAAGACAACAGAAAGTTACACGCTCTATATCCATAAAAACCTAAAAGCATCTAATTCAAATCTAGCATTAAGTCAGCACAGCAAAATTATCCCATTAAAAGTCTGTTAAGCAGTTTAGGATGTGTATGTAAAGATGATCCTACACAAATTCAAGTATAGAAGAGAGAGCAATAAGCACACAATCCACCTCAAAAGCTACATGAATCACTAAGTAAAGCACCAAAAAAGTAGACAAGGGAAGCATCAGAAAATTATAGCTATGTGAAGATTTACTTTTTTCTTTTTAAAAATGTTCAGATAGAATTTTACCTGTCAAAAGGCAGTTCCTGTGCAATCAAGTGCAGTTTCTGAATAATATCAGCTGCCTCTTTAATCTGGTAAAACATAATAGAATTATTAAAGAAGATCTGATTGTGGGCTATTCCTTTCTTCCCCCTCCACTGTCCAATTTTCACACATGTAGTTCCTATTTCTAAAGCTGGTTGAATTGATATATCTGTGTAGGAGATCACCCCCTTAAAGTTCCTGTACGTACTTCTATGATGCTTAAGGTTTGGGGTTTTGTTTTGTTTTGTTTTTTTAACATAAAATATTGTATCGGTCAAAACCTGAGATGACTTTTACTATCAAAACATAAGATGACTTTTACTACATGTTCACATTGGGCATGTCTGTGTAGGTGCCTAAGCTGCCTGGACAAACAGCTCATCACTGCACTATGCCAACACAGCTATACAGCTTGCAGACCAAAGACTCCTCAGGGCTGATTAGATCAGAATGTAGCTAGAGCAATCTCATGAAAATTTGCACCCTTCCATTTGGGAATAAAATATCTAACTGTAACACAGAGATGGCTGAACTACACCATTAACACTTTACAAGTTACTAGGATAAAAGTCTTACTGACTCACACCCAACCAGAAGAGATCTCTGTTGAACACAGAAGTGAAATGGCTAGCAATCCTTTCAGACATGTTAGGAAAAGCACTAGGTAATTCCTTCCAATTCACCAAATTAGCTGTATATCTGTATCCAAAAACGCTGTGACAATGCTCGGCACAGAGAGGGGAGGAAGGGGAAAAGGGGATCAAAGCAGAGTGTAGTTGGAGTACCTCACATTCTCCCAAGGAAGGAGAAATGGAAGCTGTATTAGAAATTACAAACTGAGGTCCAAAGCAACGATCAGGATGAAAATCAGTTAATCACACATCTACAAAATACAAATAGTCGCATGAATACAAAAGCTAACAAGTAAAGTTAAAGCAGCATGCAAATTTCTGCTCTGCCCTGGACAGCAAAACCTTTTCTCATTTATTCTTCCACGATCAATCAGCATGGCAAGCGCACCTAAGCAGCGTGTAG